CCAGTTAATCTTTAAAAAAAACATTGTGTTTAAATTTACCATTAAACCTGCTCTGTGGAGTCTTCAAGCAAGCACATTCTGTCATGCAAGTCAGTGTTTTGTTTTGCTTCCATGTGAAACACAGCCACAGCCATTTTTTAAAAATAACTTTTAATTAAATTTTTCAATGTTAACCAAAAAGCTCTGCCTGGGAGTTGTTGCGTTATTCTTCGTCTTTGTTAACACACTGCTACTTTGATTCACACTCTACCGAGAAGAACTGTCGATCAGTGGAATAGCGAGAAAAAACGGCGTCAGGAGTGTGTGCTGGGTTAGCGGTGTTAAAGTGCGAATTTGGCCCAATCACAAAATAATTGCTCTACAGCACTGCTCGTGGTCAATATGTCAAAAGGCATCTTTAGCATATATATGCATAAAATATATGCACAAAATAGAAAAATGCATAATTAAAATTTGTATAAAACAACTACTGAAATATTCATTATCTCTAATCCATATTTGTGTGAAAATGCAGTGGAACTCTAGGTATTGGATCTATACTTTCTACATCTGGATTGAATCGCTCTATACTTTAATTGATATCAAACCAGTTATTGCATTGTGAAACAATTACGACCTTAAAAAAAAAAAAAAAATCACAGATAGTGTAAATACTTATGAGCCAGCTGTCTTTAAACATGCATGTGTAACTTTTTAAGAGCCACAAATAACCTGATTTATGTCCACACATGCTCATACATCATGCCTTTTAAAACAGAGCAAACACAGACAGCTATACGACTTGATTTAAAACCAAAACACTTTCAACAGTTGTTGCGTTCCCCTTTAGAGATCTCTGGTGGATCCAATTTTCTCTATAACTCACCACAAGCCACCGACTGGTCCTGTGGGAGAGAACTGCGAAAGCTTTCTGAGCTGCATGGCGAGCTCTAAACTCTAAATCATCTCCAGGGCATTAGTACAAGCCTCCACCTCCTCCTCCTCATCCTCCTCCTCCTCCTCCTGCTCCCACTCCTACCTTGTTCTTTGTCTCTCTCACACCTCTACAAATACAGACACACACAAAAAGACCAGTGCATTCACAGTCCAAACACACACACACACACACACACTGGAATCCACCCTGGGAAACGGTGATGGATAACACACAGGTGCATTCAGGGCACTTAGCGGAGAGAGCCAGAGCCACACACAAATCTTAACATGGGGTAAATGACTTTGACACCTGAAATGCATGTTCTGGGCAGATAATACAGCATAACTTGCCCCCCCCCCCCCCCAATATTTCAAAACAAATTCAAAGTAACTGTTGAATATTGCTTTAATATGTATGATGTACTGTTTAACATATAGAAAACAGTACCTTATGAAGTGTTTGTCTCCTAACTTTTATGATAGCTTAAATAAGTCTGCATTCTCAAACACTTCTCTCGGTCGTCATCCTGCGATGCCTCGCCTCGTGTTAGACTTCACGGTCTAAATTAATGAAGCTGCTTCTCGAAGGGTTTGACGTAAGACACCTGGGACATTTTCATCAACATGCTTATGGTGCAAATGCTCACATGGAACATATGTTAAGACATCTGTCATAATCGTTGCAGAAATGTTGGAGGAATCAATATAATAAAGAAATTCATAATAAAATGAACCACTGGAGTGTGTGCCTGAAGGACATCAAGCGAGGGAAAACATGTTTTTTTGTATTACTCTGCAAAAATATTGTGCAGCTACAGTGTGGTGGTCTGACATATCGAGACAGCATGTTGTTGTCCCCTTGCAGGAATATGTATCAGGTTGAATTATGATTTTTTTCGGCATGGACAGTTGTACGCTTTGTACTTGTGGACAGTTACATAATGTCAGTAATACACACACAGACTCCTCTGCATCTTTGCATTTTGGCAGCTGAGGTGTCAGCTACCTAATCAATGGAAGTCTTCCTGCAGTACTGACTGTAGAGAGAGGATCATTTGAACACGACTATCGATTTTGTCTGACTTCAGGACGGTTGAATTACACCATACATAATGAATAGACTCCTGAATAAATGTGCCGTTCTATTGGTCACACTTATACACACACACACACACACACACACACACACACATACACACACACAGGGTTAGGCATAAACACGTTTATCAAATGTGAGCGAGGCAGTGATGATCCATCTGTCCAAACAAGAGTCGTGGGAGTGTGAGTTCGGGGTCAAAGCGCTGTGCTGAGAGATGCTTCTCTCTCTCTGTCCGGACATGACACACAAACTCGTAAAAAAAAAAAAAAAAAAATGGGACGCAGACTTTGCTTTTCGACGACAACACAAAGACAATATCGAGCTGCTTTATATAGCTGTCTGTCAGAGGGATCGCTTGAATGCGTATTTGTGTGTTTGAGTGTTTATCGCTCAGTCTATCAGACGGGTTATGGGCAGTTTTTGTTTGTTGTTCGTCTGCCAACCGGGGCGATTTTGGTGTCTTGTGACGAGACCAAAGCACACGCAGAGGAATGACGCAGATGTTTGCTCTTTATTTTGCTGTCTGGAAATAACAGCGCACTATCTTGGTATTTCTGTATGTCAGACTGATTGATTGTTTTATGACTGAGCTGAATTATTAATTGATAATACAAAAAAAAAAAAAAAAAGAAAGGCTCACAGAGTGGCTGAATGAACTGTTGACTCACAGACTGACTTTCAGGCTGTGTGACAAATGA